CTTTATCATCTGTGCCGACCATGGAGAAGCGGTCGAACCCTGGGAGGTCCCGATGCATGCCCATCCCGAAGCCGTTCTTCGTCCACTGCAAGTGACCGACCTTGTTGGCCACCCTGGAGGATTAGTGGGCGGATGAGAAGGAAATCGGGTTAGAAGGAAAAGGGACGAGGAACAAAGGAGCTAAATTAATTTCAGAAACAGGGAAATGCAGCTGAGTCAGGACGACCACGTAAGATCATTAAAGGAGATGGAGTCAAAGACCTAGAGATAAATACATGAATATGTGTTAATTTTTTTTTTAAGTAAAAGGTAACTCATAGTATACTTCAGTGTGAATATATCTAGATATTAGTTGTTGTTTTTTACTCCATTTTGATGTTATGATGATTAGGCAGATACTCGTTGTCAGAGCTTTAATCTAGATTCTTTTCGAAATCGTACTTAATTACTATGAGTACTGTGTCGATTGTTTTATTTTTCACTTCGTCGAGAGATTTTCTGTATGTAGGATGGAAGGGCTAGAATATTTCCCTAGAAGTGCGTAAGATGCAAAAATAAGAAACAGAATTAATGTACTCGCTGTTGTCACCTGGATTTGAGCCTCGGAGCACTTTCATATCTCCTGGAAAGCGTTTCGTACTTACAATGTCAACGAAATGATATCTGAATGTAAAACAGATGTACAAGATTTATGGAACATGAAGCATGGATCTGGAAATAGATATAAAACTCGATAACATTCAGGCCATTACTTCACTACATGTCAATTTCGGCTTTGTCGCTGCTAGTATCGATCTCGAGATAGTTCTATGGACTAGCAATCGACCTGAGAGAAGGACCTGCCTGTATATATAGTGCACTACTTTACACAATATCTGAATTACGCTGAGGATGGAAGGGGTCCTGCTTGGCATTTCATGTAAATCCAGGTAAGAACACACGGGATGCAAGTGATGGGATGAGAGCTTTCATGCATGGCGTAACTAGAAATCGGAACTATTATGACGAATGTTAGTACTGTGCGCGCTAGCATTTTCTAGTAAAATTCAATTGTTTCATGAAAAGTTGAATAATGACTTACTACTATAATTTAAATGTTTCCTATGAAGTAAACATTTTTACTTTATAAAGTCCATTAAATGCCGTTTTGGTCATATTTTTCAAACTATTAAAATTATCTTAACTTTAGCAAGCAGACTTTTTCCCAGTGATATAATGTTGATGTTTTAAATGAATCTCGACTCTTCATCGAAAATGGACAATCACAAATTGTGCACTAGGCCTCATGAGGAAAGTAATGATTTTTCTATTTGTCAATACGAACAATGTGTTTACGTGGCTTCAAGATAACAGACTTCAAGTTTAGAATTATCATCATTGTCGTTATCATTATATTACTGTTATTTTATTATTATTATTCTTGCTGCTGCTGCAATTATTATTATTTTGACTTTGCGCTTCACTAATTGCTGCTGGTGTCGCGAAGGGTGGACTGCGAGAACTAAAGGCACTTTGCGAAGGACACTTTGAAATTAATCACAAGAAATTAATCGATAACAATGGCCTTAGTATCGGCGACCAAGGTCTTTTCTAAATGAATACCAAATTAATAACATAATGAGTAAGTAACAAATACGGCGTTGAATATAAAAATGATAATAAAGAAGTACAGCGTCGGACCAGTGAAGGTTCAGCGGCCTCTGGAGCCACTCACTTGCAGGGCAGGATCACCGTGGATCCTACGACGGCGATTTGAGCCTTGGGTTCCTTGAGGAAGTGCTGCTCCTCTCCCATGCTGGTGTCCGGGGAAAGCTTGACCTCCCAGTCCACGCTCGCGCCCGCGGCCAGGCAGCCCAACGCCAGCCATGAGATCCCCAGGCGGAGCCACGAATCCCTCAGCGTGCACATGTCCTGCGGGAGGAGGCCGGGTCATCCAGAGAGGAAAAGTGTCCGCTGCTAGAAATGTTGCAAATATCGATGACAAAAAAGAACAAAGAACATACAGAAATATTTATATTGAAATCGGGTACCAGTGAAGCTAAATATTAGACGATTCCAATTCTAGATGAGTTGTTTCCTTTGCCTTTTTTCAGGACAATCTACGAGAGAAGTTTATTTAAACATTCCAATGCACTGCGCGCCTCACAACTTTTAATCAAGCAGAGAAAGGCTCAGGCAACCGACAGAGACTGAAAAGACAATAGCCGTGAGAGACGACACACAGGAACCTTGTCATCAAACAGTTAACTCGAGTGATGAGACAAAGGATTGATAATATTTTTTTAAATTATAGTAATAAAAGAGGAACGCCAGAACACTTTCTCTATTTCATCTTTGTATTTTTCCTCTGTCCTTCCTGTGCCTCTCTTATTTATCCAGCTATCTGGATCTTTTTTCTCTTTCCTTTTTTTCTCTTTTTATTTCTTCCTTCCATTCTCTCTCTTTTATTTTCTCTCTCATTTTTTCTCTCATTTTCTCTCTCTCAATTTCTCTCTCTCAT